ATGACCATCATTTTAAGGGCAAAAAAATCTTAAATAGACAGATTGGCATATTAAGTGTTTTTTTTCTATTTCCTTGAAGACCGACTCACTCCTAACATTGTCAAGGCTCAATGTAGACATAATTAAGATTTTTTGCTCTTGAAATGATGACCCCCTTAAAATTGGTCGAAGGCTTGGCAGTAATAACTGAATTTACTTTCTTCTTCAAGACCATACTCTAATCTTTGTGAGTGTAAGCAAATTTTTTTATTTATCTATTTATCCACTTATTTAATTATTTTTCCTTTTCTTTACATGCACATATTAAATTATTCCCTATTTATTTATAATTTTTTCAATGTAAAATTTAATTATTTTTAGTATATTGATCAATGATGAAATTCTAAAATGTATTGCTTATAATTAATTTTAAAGTATCTTTAAACTGCTTAGCTTGTTTTTGACGGTGTTTTAATAAATAATTAATAGTATCATCTTTGATATGCCAAAATTTTAAATATCGGTATAGATACAACCAACCGTCAATTTAGATTTATTGTTGAAATTTTATTAATCTCTGATTTCTATATAACAATAATATCGATGAGTTAAATTTGCAATTATTTATTCACATAAATTTGATGTAGTTATACGTTTAGTGGCGGACAAACTGAAATAATAATAATTCTAACTATAATAATATCACTCAAAATAAACAAATAATTCTCTTTCGATAATCAAAAATAAAAATTATATAAAACAAAATATATTTTTCCTTTTTGGACATGTAAAAATGCAATATTTTGGGAAAGAAAACTGATTTTAAGGGCAAAACAAACTCAAATTGACAGATTGACATATTAAGTTTTTTCTAATTTCCTCGAAGATCGACTCACTCCTAACATTGTCAAGGCTCAATATAGACATAATTAAGATTTTTTTCTCTCAAAATGATGACCCTTTAAATTTACTTTCTTCTTCAAGATCATATCTTGATCCAGAGTAAAAACAAAAATTAGATCAAACAAAATATATTTTTCTTTTTTGGACATATAAAAATGCAATATTTTGGGAAAGAATACTGATTTTAAGGGCAAAAAAATCTCAAATTGACAGATTGACATATTAAGTTTTTTTCTAATTTCCTTGAAGATCGACTCACTCCTAACATTGTCAAGGCTCAATGTAGACATAATTAAGATTTTTTTCTCTTAAAATGATGACCCTTTAAATTTACTTTCTTCTTCAAGACCATATCTTGATAAAGAGTGTTCGTGAGTGCAAAAGTAGTCGATACTTCTAATACTGTAAATAAATGTTTTGAATAAATAACTGAATATTATGTATATACAAATGATTTATCAAAGAATATAGCTTTTATCCGCAACGTAAGAAAGAAACCTTCCTGATTTTTTGGGCAGTAGTGGGAACTTTTATAGAAAGTATAGCTTTGGCTATCACGTTCTTTACGTGAGGGTCGAAATGGAGTCTTCGGTCCAGAGTTTTCCCCAGATAGGTTACTTTTTCGGACCAACTGGGGTCGCAATGCCATTTAACATTGAGCTTCTTTAGCGTGCGCACCTAGCCGTCAGGCGGTATCACACGTGAGGTCGGTGTAGAAGCCCGAAAATCCACAGACTAATTGACAGACATGCTGACTTCTCCCGCTTGTGCATTCCGAGGGGGTGGGTTAACAATTTGCAATTAACCAGTGCCACGCGTAAATGAATACCAAAAATTGGTCTAAATGCATCGGCAAAGTTTCCCACGCACTCCCTAGATAGAGATGACAACCCTATCTCCCTGGGTGTAGGGACTCAGCTAGCGTCAAAACCTCCGGGTGCGTTCCGGCCACTGTTTCGATTTTAGTGGATTCTCTAACCACCCCCTAGAGGAGTACCATGCCTACGGTAAAGGCAACCAAAAGGTCAGCCACCGACAAGCACCCACTCCCGTCCACCATTCCTCACGCATTCGAGGGACGCCATCAGTGTAGTCATAGCTCCTCGATGGATATACGCTCTCGGCAATCCGATTCTTCCTATTCCCGGGAGGTCGGGAGGTAATTCGGAGGTCATACGCAAGTCAACGAATGAAACTCAGCCTCTCCTCTAGGTACACGCAAGGGATCTCACTACTCAGCCACTGCTTTGGTACCCCGCAGTTCAGATGGTTATGCACAAACCGCCGTCCGTATAGATAAAAATATATTTAGACAGGATCTGGTAACCTAACCCCCTGTGCCTCTGATGCAGCACGCGCCGTCCGAGGTCAGCTCGCAAGCCAACAACAATAATCATTATTTTTTACCTTTGACAAAAATGTCTAATTTGCAGTGCAATATCTTCTGCGTATAGTGCTAATTGTATATGCTTTAATTTTTGGCTTAGCGTTCATGAAGAGAGTCAAAAGATAGGGTCCCAAGATGGATCCCTGTGGCACTCCTTGCACATGTTCTATGATTTGCCAAGTTAAATGGGGGAGGATTTTTCGTTTTACGCTACTGTACTTGAAAAGTCTTTTACGTGTTATCTCTTTGAAGCCTAATATTTTTTACGTTAAAACTTAGTACGCAAATGAACATTTAAAAAATTTTAAGTTTTAAAGAAATAAGTATGCAAAAATGGAAGTCATTTTCCTAGTTGAGCTTGAGGATAAAAATCCCACCGGTTTATCAATAATTTCTCTCTATTAGACCACACAAGAAATTTTATCCAAAGACTGATTATAACGCCAGTTTTTATTCTAAGCTGTAAAATTTACAAAAGCGATTACATCAGTAACAGTAGAATTTTCCTTTTGAACGCACCCCGCGCTAATGCCCTTCTTCATTTTCTCTACCGTTTCTTTTGAAGGCGGCAGTTTCAGCCGAAAGCTTTAGGGATTACTACCTCCTCCTAAACAGAAACAATGAGCACTCCTAATGAATGGATATTCCCACTCGAACCCTCGGGACCTCCTCCTCATTTCTTCGGGACCCTGTTTTTCTTTCATCCCAAGCCCTTGTAAGCCAAATTTCTCAAGACACCGGTTTTTCTTGATCATGGCCTCTGTATTTATTCTATCATGGGTCTCGGTCTTTATTGATTTTTCAGTAAACAAATTTAAGAATAAGAAATATCATTTGAAAATTATTTGGCTAATTTTGTGTCTGATTATCAGGGGGACAGTTTAGTGATATTTATGTTTACTTTCAAAGCAAAATATATGAACCTTTATAGCATATCATATCAGTAGTGATAATTGGGTATAACAGTGGTCGAGTGATCAACATGGCAGTCTAAAAAATCGACTAATTGTGCATTTATTGTTAGACAGCATTAAGGATGAAGAAACTGAGAAATTTGACATGACACTGCAGAATCCGTGGAAATCAGAAGAACAGCTTCTACGAACACAGCTTGTCCAGATGAATAAAAAAAAGAGCAAAAGAAACTACTGTACATTTATTCTCTGATAACATTATGGAAGAAGAAATTGAGAATTGACTTGGCACTGTAGAATCCATGGAAGTCAGAAGAATATTAGCGTGTACGAACACAGCATGTGCAGATGTATGAAAAAAAGAGCAAAAGAAACTCCTATACATATATTCATAGACATCATTATGGAAGAAGAAGCTGAGAATTTTGACGTGGCACTGTAGAATCCGTGGAAATCAGAAGAACAGCTTCTACGAACACAGCTTGTCCAGATGAATAAAAAAAAGAGCAAAAGAAACTACTATACATTTATTCTCTGATAACATTATGGAAGAAGAAATTGAGAATTGACGTGGCACTGTAGAATCCATGGAAGTCAGAAGAATATTAGCGTCTACGAACACAGCATGTGCAGATGTATGAAAAAAAGATCAAAAGAAACTACTATATATTTATTCTTTGACAACATTATGGAAGAAGAATTTGAGAATTAACGTGGCACTGTAGAATCCGTGGAAATCAGAAGAACAGCTTCTACGGGCACAGCATGTTCAGATGTATGAAAAAAAGAGCAAAAGAAACTCCTATACATATATTCTTAGACATCATTATGGAAGAAGAAGCTGAGAATTTTGACGTGGCACTGTAGAATCCGTGGAAATCAGAAGAACATTAGCTTCTAAGAACACACAGCATGTTCAGATGTATGAAAAAAGAGCAAAAGAAACTCCTATACATATATTCATAGACATCATTATGGAAGAAGAAGCTGAAAATTATGACGTGGCACTGCAGAATCCGTGGAAATCAAAAGAACATTAGCTTTTACAAACACAGCATATATAGAAAATGAGCAAAAGAAAGTCCTATACATTTATTCTTAGACTTCATTTTGGAAGAAAAAGCTGAGAATTTTGAGTGGCACTGCAGAAACCGCCGAAATCAGAAGAACATTAGCTTCTACGAACACACAGCATGTGCAGTTGGATGAAAAAAAAGAGCAAAAGAAACTCCTATACATATATTCTTAGACGTCATTATGGAAGAAGAAGCTGAGAAATTTGAAGGGCACTGCAGGATCCGTGGAAATCAGAAGGGCAGCTTGTACGAACACAACATGTGTAGTTGTATGAAAAAAGTAAAAAAAACGACTATACATTCATTCTTAGACATCATTATGGAAGAAGAAGCTGAAAATTATAACGTGGCACCGTAGAATCCATAGAAATCGGAAAACATTACCTTTATCTTTAGGCATCATTATGGAAGAAGAAGCTGAAAATTATAACGTGGCACCGTAGAATCCATAGAAATCGGAAAACATTACCTTTATCTTTAGGCATCATTATGGAAGAAGAAGAATCCATGGTATTAGCCAAAAAAACCGATAAAAATGTACGCACTATCACCAATCCTTCGGCATTTATTATTCCTTCTTCAATTCATAGCATCCAAAAAATAATTATCAATAATTAACTGTTTGATTTAGAATGGTTTATACTTACCATGTTAATTTACTTGCCCACTTGTTAAATTCAGTTGCTTGCACATGAAGGACGTTGTTAGAAATTAGGTAACTTTTTGAATAAATATTTGTACTATGTTTAAAACAGAAACATTATTTTCTGCTTAAAGAATTTATTACCGGTATTTGAACATTATAAAAACTCATGAAAACATATAAATTTAAGATTCTTAATTTTGTCTTCTGAGGGACGCAATTCCAACGACTTTCTGATCAATGTCGAACACGGTGTAATAATTGGATAGAAAAACGTCCCCGAGGATCCAAAGATTTGCCATGTTGTTGTCGACTAAGCTGTCATGGCACACTTCCCACCAAAGTGTCTTGTGCTAAATTTAATAAATTCATATTTTACATGATTTAAAGGATTGAAACGTGAACAAAGTAAATATCACTTATTCATTCTCTCTCCTCTCTTTTTCAATGTTAATTGTAACTGAGGTTACTATCAACCAAAATTTGCGAGATTTTTTAAATAAAATGATATTCATTTATTCTCTCCCTCTCTCTCTCTCTCTCACTCTCTCTCTCTCTCTCTCTTTCTCTCTCTCTCCCTCTCTCTCTTTCTCTCTCTCTCTTTTTTTCTCTCTCTCTCTCTCTCTCTCTCTTTGTGTTATTCTTTTGTTGTTCTGTCTGTCTGACTGTCTCTCTCTCTCACTCTCTCTCTCACTCCCTCTCACTCTCTCTCTCTCTCACTCCCTCTCTCTCTTTTTCTCTCTCTCTCACTCCCTCTCTCTCTTTTTCTCTCTCTCTCTCNTATCAACCAAAATTTGCGAGATTTTTTAAATAAAATGATATTCATTTATTCTCTCCCTCTCTCTCTCTCTCACTCTCTCTCTCTCTCTCTTTCTCTCTCTCTCCCTCTCTCTCTTTCTCTCTCTCTCTTTTTTTCTCTCTCTCTCTCTCTCTCTCTCTCTCTCTGTGTTATTCTTTTGTTGTTCTGTCTGTCTGACTGTCTCTCTCTCTCACTCTCTCTCACTCCCTCTCACTCTCTCTCTCTCTCACTCCCTCTCTCTCTTTTTCTCTCTCTCTCACTCACTCTCTCTCTTTTTCTCTCTCTCTCTCACTCCCTCTCTCTCTTTTTCTCTCCCTCTCTCTCGCATTCTCTCCCTCTCTTTCTCTCTATCTCTCTCTCTCTCTCACACACACACACACACAAACGCTCGCTCTATCTCTCTCTTTACATCTGTTTCTCTATATGTTTTTTTGTGTCTCCCTTGATATCAATCTATCTGTTTTATTTTTTTTCAAAAAAAAACAGAAAAAAACTATTCCTTCTTTTTAATCATTCTCTCTCTCTCTCACTCTCTCTATATCTATCTATCTATCTCTCTTTCTCTTACATCTCTTTATCTATTTCTATATGTTTTTTGTGTCTCTCTTGATATCATTCTATCTGTCTTATTTTAAAAAAAACAAAAAAAAAACAACTATATTCCTTCTTTTTAATCATTATCTCTCTCTCTCTCTCTCTCTCTCTCTCTCTCTCTCTTCCTCCCTCCCTCTCTCTCTCTCTCTCTCTCTCTCTCTCTCTCTCTCTTACAACTGTTTATCCATCTCTATATGTTTTTGTGTGTCTCTCTTGATATTCTATCTGTCTTATTTTTCTTTTGAAAAAAAAAAACTTTATTCTTTCTTTTTAATTATTCTCTCTCTCTCTCTCTCTCTCTCTCTCTCTCTCTCTCTTTCCTTTCTATCTACCTATACCTCTATCTATCTTTGTCGCTCTCTTTTTTATGAAAATCTATCTGTGTCTTATTCATCTTACTTTCTCTTTTTTCGTTTTAATAAGATGATATTCATTCTCTTTATCTCCCCCTATATCATATATATCTTTTTCTTCTCTCATATGAAATCATGTGTTTTATTTTTCTTCTTTCTCTCTCGAGAGGATTAAAAAACGAACCAGTTTCCTTGCTTTTGTAAACGTAGAATGAATTTGCCTACCTTGTTGATATAGTTTGTTACATTAACTGAATACAGTTTCCCATCTATTTCAAACTCGAGCATAGGTAGTTGGCCGTAATCTTCGCATGGCATCTGAAAGCAACTGTGTGAGTAAAATTGAAAATTTTACGCATTACTTTTTTCTGATTACATTTCCATTTTCGTCCGTGCCCATGAAACGTCTGATGTTTTGAATCGCTTGCTTGGGAGCGACTATGTAAGACGTGCCCGTATCTAGTATCGCAGTGCATCCGTTTGTACATTCAAACACCATATTTCCTCCAACATGGACTCTAAAACCATTGAATATGAATAGGTTATATTTTTAAAGAGGCCGAGGTTTTTGTATTGTCACTCTTGGGTTCTACACCTAATTGGAAACAATATTGCAAAGTGGTCATATATCTGGGATTTGGACGTTAGGCAAGGTGCATATTAAGGCGTGAATTGACACGATATGCCATATTATGCTTTTGTAGCATAGTGATGTGAATGGATCAGAGCAGATTGAGACTCGACTCAGTACAACATAACTGACGCACGCGTCGCACTGCGTCTTGAATCGTGTCGTACTTTGCACCATGCGATATCATCTTTTTCCACGATGGATGGTTCTGTTCTATCTGAATTAAGTAATTTTAAATTTTAAAAAATAAATTTAAAAAACGGTTCTAAGTTTCGATGTACGCAAAACGTTAAATATTTTCTGTTATACAGAATTATTGAATTTTTATTAATAAAAAAGTATGTATGAATAAAAAAAAGCGAGAGAAAATTACCGATGAAAGTTTAAACACTCAGAATCAGATATCGAAATCAATCTATTAATTCAGGTTTTATTGTAGAATTAAATTTCTTTTTACGATTAAAAACTGAAAATAAAAAATAAAAAAGGTACTCTTACATATTTATAATCTTATCGGAATTAAAAATGAATAAAAACAAGTATCAGAGTGGAACTGTTTCTGGTGAGGTCACCAGCGGTAAAAACTTATTTTGCGTAATTTGTTGCGATGTTCCATCATGATGTCAAACTCCTGACGAGTTCGCATACAACACCATTTGACTACTTAGATACAGAACCCACCTTGGGAGTCGTGGCCCACTTTATGTGGAACTACGGCGACAACGCGGGTGGTATGGTGTGGTTTGGGACTCGAGACCACGAAACGGCTCACCTCGTGTTCTCATCCACGGCACTTTTTCTCAATCCGAGCTACTTCATTCTATCCTGTGACCCCTCCTAAACCCTTCGTTACAAGAGGGATATCCGGGCACAAAATAAAGGTGCAGCCCAGAGGGTGTGGCAACCTCTTTGAAGCGCAAGCTGTACTCGTGTCGGCCTAGGGTCCGCATGGGCGGCGGGTGCCTTAGCAGAGTCACACGAGGGCCACTGCACTAGATCCTGTCTGCATAGACGGGGGAGGGTGTATGGCCGTCTGTACCACCGGGTAACTTAAATGTTTCAAAATCAGCCCAAAGTTACAATGGGAACGATTTCGTGGTGGCGCGTGGTGACGCCCCTGGCGGGAACTTAGACAGAGGCTGTCTTCTATCTGTGACCTTCGTGAAGCTTGGGTATTGCCAGAATAAAACCCCCGGCCTCACGGGAGACAGTGCGACCGGACGGCAGCGTGTAAGCGTTGAGGACGAGATGATCATGTTATAGTCCCTCGAATGCGTAAGTAAGCGGATGGAAGCGGGTAGTGAAGCGGTGTCTCTGACTCGAGTATGCTTTCCATTGTTGTGCTTATGACCGACGTGGTACCCTTGGGGAAACGAAGGATCGGACCACCGAGCCTATGGCGTCCCTCGAATGCGCGTGACAGGTGTAGGCTGAGCTCGATTAGAGACTTTACCGTAGGCGGTGCTCATCTAGGGTATGGTTAGCAATTCCACTTTAAACTAAACCGCTGCCGCCCCGGAAGTTTCTACGCTGGGGAAGCCCATATACTCAGGGGGATAGAGTGGCCTTCTCTTTCTAGGGAGTACGCGGAGGGGGGACAGGGTGATGTATTTCGGCCTGTTAGCCCTTCGCGTGCGGCATACAACCCTATGCACAACGCGGGCCCGACCATTCGGAGTGGACAAGCGGAGAGCGAGGTTGTATCGGCCCTTAAGGGCTGGGGCGCCTCTACACTAATGCTGCGGCGGTTACACCATTCCGTCGTATGCGGAGGTGCGTCAGCTCTCATCTTGAGAATCAAAACGTCCGATAAGGCAAAAAGGCCCAGGTGCGGACGCTAAAGATCCCCTTGTCTTGTTCACGATGAGTACTCGGAGTAAGTTACACAGAAGTTTGTTTACTGGCAGGTTAGAGTCTCTGCAAAGTAAGGGAAACAAGACACGAATGGCAAAGTCCCAGCAAGCTACTGTAAGCAGTAAGCAGTAGTCAGTTAGTTCGACAAATTGAAGATCATGAAGTTTAAACGTTTTTTTTTTATTTTTTCCCCTTAAGTTAACCTTTGTTTTGCTGATACGCTCGTTACTCGTTCTGCCACTCGACCAGTAAGAAACTTATTATAAAAATAAATAAATAAAATAAACTTGAACCTTTTTGTACTCACTTGTCTATTACGACTGCCCACATATTGGCCACAGTGTTGTGAAAGGTCAGAGTCTCTTCATAAAATTTCGTAGTGTCCATTCCGCCGAAAATTATTTCACCTCCGGCATTCGGTGAATTATCATCTCTGATATAACATAAACTATTGACGTTAATGGAAAAAACGATTGTTGTAAGGATATAACCTGTTTAAATACAGCGAAAAAACCGGTTTGTCCAGATATTTTGACAAGTCGTAGAAAGGTGGTTTAATTTCGCCCGGGCTGGTGTCTCGTAAACCGAGACCGAAAACGCCATCGAACTTCTGCGTGAACGCAGCGAGGAATCCGTCGTTGACTCCCGTGGCCTCTGCGAACTTCACCAAAGCGCCTGTATTGCCGAAACGTAATTTATCGATGCTGACGAAGCCGGACATTTTGCCCCTGCCATAGACCACTGAAATACCCGTCCCATCTGATAGGTGTGTCTTTGATTTGGAAGATTTGTACGACGATCGTGTCCCTGGGACAATTTGATACTGTAATTCTAAGCTTTAAAAGATACCTTCAGCTACTTACAACACGGCCACGACCACCAGCATTGTTTAGAGTATATCCACAGAACCGTGGACCCTGTATCGAAAAGCACTCGGAACTTCTGTTCCGGCGTTCCCAAGGAAACTATTCCTGTGTAATATACCTGAAAATTATTTACACGTCAAGCAACAATATTGTCTTACAAAAAACAATAAAAGTTACGTTTTTGTAATTCGTTAATGAAGCCGGCAAAATCCCTAGCATGTAGCCAAAATTACTCTCTTGTTTATTATTTTCATCTTGTTGTTCAATTTTCGTTCTTTCAAGGAAAATCCTGCAAAAGAAACATACATTTGAATAAAATAAGTTAAAAATATTTTTTCTGCTATAATATCTTGATGAGATAAAACTGATAAAGCTAATTGTTTTCCCATGTTATAATACGGCAATATTTGACCTGATGTTGAAAAACGTCAAAGTTACCCTAATAGAATAATAATAATAAATTATAATTAATTAAGGTTTTTAGTTGAGATAAAAAAGTAAATGGCATGAGTGGGATTCGAACCCACGGTCTTCGGCTTGATACGCAGCTGCTCTACCACTTGAGCTATCGTGACCTCGATCCACTCGGACACCAACTATTACACGACATTTGAAAAATACCAAAAATGAGGGAAAATTCAAAAGGTGGGGTTGAGATGAGAAGTTAGTGTCCAAACGGATCGAAGTCACGATAGCTCAAGTGGTAGAGCAGCGGCGTAATTAGCCGAGGTCGTGGGTTCGAATCCCGCTCGTGAAACTGACTTTTTTATCTCAACCAAGGCGGTAATTAATTAAAAATAATAATAATACAAAATGGGAGGTTTATGGGCCGACAAACAGCTGAGGTCATCGCCGGCCCTCGGCGTGTTCTCATTCTTTTTCTCTTCTTTCGCGCGTATTGTGTTTTAAACTATAATAGGAGATAATAGGCAGCCCCTTCCTTTCACGCTAATAAATGACTTTTACTCTCCAGACTTCATACATTTACCCTAGAGTACTCGATATTTCTCAGGGCGGGGTTATAAGCAGCGTCTACCTTTCACGCTAATAAATTACTTTTACTCTCCAGACGTCATACATTCACCCCAGATTACTTGATATTCCTCGGGGCGGGGTAATAAGCAAATTCTTCATTTCACGCTAGTAAATTACTTTTACTCTCCAGACGTCATACATTCACCCCAGATTACTCGATATTCCTCGGGGCGGGGTAATAAGCAACCCTTTCCTTTCACGCTAATAAATTAATTTTACTCTCTAGACGTCATCCACTCACCCCAGAGTAATCGATATCCCTTGTGGCTGGGTTATAAGCAACCCCTTCCTTTCACGCTAATAAATTACTTTTACTCTCTAGACGTCATCCACTCACCCCAGAGTACTCGATATCCCTCGGGGCGGGGTTATAAGCAACCCCTTCCTTTCACGCTAATAAATTACTTTTACTCTCTAGACGTCATACAGTCATCCCAGCGTACTCAATATCCCTCTGGGCGGGGTTATAAGCAACCCTAATTACCTATGTTGCCCTAATAGAAAAAAAGAGTTTTTGTTGTCTAGTTCATCATGAGGCTGAACATAGAAAAATAATACTCCAGCCCTAATTTAACTGCGATTCTAAACCCGCTAAACGGATTTTCCATACGGCAATTTGATAAAAAAATTAACTAGTCAAGTCAAATGAATAATCAATTTATGACAAAAAAATGCTCTTGCAGTTTACCTGATATTTGCTGAAGCGACTGTTAATATAGAAAGAATAAACCAAATGTAGTTCGCCATGACTGCTTGTTCCAACACTGACGAGTCGAGTTTTTAGCTATTATCTACGTTATTTCTTATCTTGGTGTTTATTACCTGTATTGTTCAACGTACTCGATCGGCATTTTAAGTCTCCGCCGATCTCGAGTGGCCATTTTTCAAATAAAACCTATTATAATTGTGACAATGACATCACACTAAATAATAACATTAATAACTTAAAAAAATAATTAAGAACTAATATGTAAAGGCCGTAAACTATCGTAAAATCAAAACATACAGATTCAACTGGAAGAAAGAAACACTCAAAACATGGAACGTCAAAATAAGTATAATTCAATTAAAATAATTTGCGATTTGAACTGAATCAAAACAGCTAACTGACCTACAACACATGTTCCTGCCAGATTTACTAGCACTTCCACGCTTTAATTACGAAAATGACCCTTACCATACTTCAATATATGGTTCATATTTAAAAGTATCCCCGATATTATTCTAAGATGTTATATCAATATCGTCGCGCTATCATTTTTTTTTTTTTTTACTGAAGTGAGTTGTTAACATGGATTTATCGTGACTCGTAATCTTTCATCTTAAGATACCGATTATCTAGTGTTAGGTTCAATGATGACATATTTACACCATAAATGAATGAAATCTAATCGTTTAAATGAAAAAGTTAAACATGCAAAAAGACTAATAAATTAAATTTAGTATGGAATCTTCTGTGTACACAATAATGATAAAACTTTATTACAAATTTATAGCTATTACACATTTTATAAATAGATTGATATTTCATTTGCAACAAAAGAAAACGGGCTACAACTATGAAATAAAAAAATTATAAGCATATCCAAGCATGGATTAAAACCGTCTGCCGGAGGTTGTTGCTGGTATCATAAAAAAAACCCATATAGAAATGTACAAAAAAATATATAAAGAAAAGAATAAACTAAATTAAAAATACATAAATAAAAAATAATTAATTAAAAGCTTAAATTTAAAAAAAAATTAAGCTAGTAGATACAAAAAAAGCAATACAAAGTACACAATAAAATGCAAATAAAATAAAACAAACAATAAAATACAAAGATTATTTGGAGGGTAGAACAAAGATGAAGTGAGTCATATCAGTACTGATAATTAAATTGATGGACCAATTTAAATCTTCCATTATACTTCCATTATAAAATTTATATGTTTTTTAAACAATTTGTATTATTTAATAAACAATAAGTAAAAAGTTTATGAAAATTTCCAAAACCAAAAAGAATAAATGTGTAGTGTTTAGTGATCATTAGTTAATGACTATTTGGAAATCGTTAGATGCGGTCTTGTGTGACGTAGGCTTTAGAAAAACATTTACTTTGTCGTGCCAACGTTTCGACCTTTATTGAGATCATCTTCAGGGACCAAAGTGTTTGTTTGCCGTGTAAATGTGTCATTCTTGTGTGTCGGGCATTCTCAACACGACATACAAGAATGACAAGTCTACCCGTTAAACAAACACTTTGATCTCTGAAGATGATCTCAATAAAGATCGAAACATTAGCACGACAAAGAAAATGTTTTTCTAAAGCCTCACACCATCTCCACCGCATCTCACGATCTCCAAATAGTCAAAAACTAAAAAGTAAAGGTATTGTGATTAGAGATTATTCCTAGTTGGATTGAATTGTTTTACTTTGACATACATAAACAGCAAAGCAGGGATTATTTCAAACAAAGACGGTGTAACGACGCTTACATATCTGATAACCGCTCACGTCTCACCCTGCAGGCCTGGCTTATGCAAATCACCCATCCTGGGTTATCATGGCAATAATTCAAAATTTCTTGCCCAATTAGATGTGGAAAAGGAGATAGCAAAGGTGTTTCTAAATTTTATTTCTTCTGGACCGAATGAAGACGAACCCAGTCAGCAATGCGTCACGTCTTATGAATATCGTAACGTCTCGATGGAGAGAACTTTCAACCATCGTTTACGACGATTTTTGCATCACAAATCTCGTGAATAGTTGTTTAAAAAATTACGGGTAGTCACTTTCAAAAGACCGACTTCGCAAAAGCAGTAGAAAATCCGAAAAAACGACATCACAGAATTATTGTACCTAGTGTAGAATAACTGGTCACGAACGGAAAACTGCAGGAATATAAAACCGACTACGTGAAAATACTGCACAAGGGTCTTAGACAAGCGTGAGAGCGCGCCAGGATTTATGGAAGAAAAGGGTGATGGAGTCTCGAATCTTAAAACTTCCACAATCGGGCATTCTACTTTGTATCGTTTGACAGACAAAAAAAATTAAATCTTAAATAGGTTTTTTAGTGTAATTTTATAATTCCATACTCGGTTCTTCTTCTTCGAGGGATTCATCAGATGTGGGATTGGATGTACCTCTTCACCTATTCGATTAAACAACTTATAGCCCTTGTGAACCCGATTTTGCACGTTATGGAAAATCGCCCTTCAGAATCTGTTCACAGAACTGGAACGTTTCGATTGCTCAACCAGCATTCCCACAGGGAGAAGTGCCTCTGCCCCCATCGGCATCATCGTAGCTTGAGGACGTGGCAAAAATAAAGTCGGGTATCTCGGAGAATCGATCATTCATCGCGGTTGGTTTTCTTCCGAATCCGGATTGGGGCATTAATAAAGTAAAACAGGTCTATAGTAGATGATGGGGTTTGGTCTTCGAGTTGGCGAACTCATGTTGAACCGGCACACGGGCACTACTGGGTCTGTCTTCATTCGCGGGTTTTTTGTTTGAGTTATTCAAACGCGTTTCGGCATTACGCCATCTTCAGTGAAAAACTGTCTGTCATTTAGTCTGAGTAGGGTTTATATAGTATTGCGTCCGTCGCTTGTCGCTGGAGGCGTTGCGTTAGGGGGCGTGGTCTCCGGGCTCGTTGGTCGGTCTTGGTGGCGGTCATTTCCATTGTCAGTTATTATTTGTGCGTTGTC